AAAGTGTTGACTTGAGCGATTATCGCTATAGCGCAGCGTGACGTCGATCTTCAATCCATTCAACTGATTGCTCTTAGCGTTTTGGTTGGGAAAGCATTGATCTAATATAAAATATTCGTTAACAAAATTCCAGTTTGACGCTGAAACCGATACACAATTGGCCGACGGTGATCAAGTCTTGCATTAATCAAGTTGTAGTACAATGTTTTCGTAATGATACAAAGTGATTAATCAAATTAAACGTCGCTCAATCATCTAGTCGTTAGTGGTCTTCCGTTACTTATTACGTATTATTACCGTAATGGCGTAATTAGGCTTTCCTCGAGAAAAATGTGAGACGCTCGCTCGCAGCTCGAGAAAACTGAATTGAGTTAAGACGATTATTACTAGCGCAGCGTGACATTGATCTTCAACCCTCCAATGTAGAGTTATTCTTAGCGTTTGATCCGAGAAACATTTCTCTCATGAAATACAGAACATTAACGAAGCTCCAAGTCCAACATAGAAATAGAAATCTATCGAGGGTCGTCAGTTCTTTCTCCATTAAAGTTTTGTATTCATTTTTACATAACATTAGTTGATATCACATAAAAGTTTTATGTCAATGAAGGAGATTGCATCATCCTCGTGACGAAACGATTGATAAATCTATAAATTTCGCGTTAATAAACCTAATGAATATTGTTAATTAAGTTTTGATCATCGATCAGTAATCGTGGCGTTTGTTGGTCGCGCGCGAATTGAAATTTTAGATGTTTGTTTCAAGTCCCCGCGGCTTGTGTGACAGTTTTGTACACGCGATACCTAATCTCGCACGCGTCCTACGCGTCGCAATTCACTTTCCACGTGCTCCAGCAGCGCAATCAAACCCATTTCATTTCGCAGTCCGTCCCGTATCTTCGTCCGCAAACAGATTTTCAAGTGCCGCGCCGATAGCAGGCGCGTTACATAATATCCTCTCGCATTTCCACGGCGTGGCGTTTTAGAGCGTTTTACGGTGGATCTCGAGGTCACGCCGAGAATTGGACCGTGATTCTCGCGGATTTGCGCCTCTCCGGGGGGGATACCTGAAGCTCTGAGCGCCATACGCAGAAAGAGTCCGGTGCTTATCGTGAATTTCCTTGGAGAACGCTTCTTCCTATCGCGCATCGCTTATTAATAAAATTACCGAGAAAGGAGATAAGTATCGCGCGATTTTCCGAACTCCGATCGCCGGAGGCGATCAGAAAATCCTGACTTTTATCTTTGCATCTAGAGATGCACCCCTAAGGGCCATCGCACACAAAATTGCATAGTTGCATATGCATAGCACAAGACAGTCTAGACCAATAAGCATTTTATGCGAGGGGGAAACCGCTGACCAAAATCTTGTACACCAATGCCCACCAGTGAACTCTATACATACTGGAATGAGTGATCTATTGTTCTGGCTGTTGCCGAGAGAGAGGTGCGTTTGGGTGAATCCTTGTCTCCTTCTAGTACTACCTGATTGGATAGTCGCATATAAATGACGAGAAGAAGGGCGTCACTTATATGCGATTATCCAATCAGGTAGTCTAGAAGGAGACAAGGATTCACCCAAAGCACCTCTCTCTCGGCAACAGCCAGAACTATAGATCACTCATTCCAGTATGTATATAGAGTTCACTGATGCCCACTAATGCCCAGTGGGCATTACTTTATCTTATTTATCTTGTTTTATCTTATTTTATCTTATTTTATCTTTGTAATGCCCCAGCAAGACCTAATGCCCAAAAAACGCTCTAGTAATGCCCAGTAATGTCGCAAATCTTTACACCACAATGCCCTCAGCGGTTTCCCCCTCGGTTTATATCCAGACCAACTTGCACAGGTGCATACGCATATGCATAAAGGAATTGATCGAGCTATTTTCTTTAGCGTGCCTTTATGGCCCAATCAGATTCCTTATGCATTACGTTTGTGCGCTATGCAAGTTTATCTGGATAGACCATTAGAACTAGCGTGAAAGATAGCGGAGAATCGCAGCGTTCGTTCCCGAGTGCAGTCCCGTATAAACTTTGGAAACTCCAGCCAAATGTTGGAAATCCTAAAAATATCCCAAGGTCTCGTTTCGTTTGCGAAGCCGGCAAATTACTCTCCGAGTCTCCGTGGCGCGCGCGAATTTCTCAATCCTTTGCGAAAGGATACTCATTCGTCGGAGTTAAATATACAGCAATTTATCTCGATGCGTGACGTTCGTCGTATGACGATGCACAAACGCGGCCATCTGCTACTGCATATCGTCTCATGAATACGTGACGATTATCATGCTGTGACGCGTGTCAAGGACGCGTGCACGAGAGAGAGAGAGAGACAGAGAGAAAAAGGAGATTTTTAACAGTCGAAGACGCTGTGGAAACTCCCGGAACTTGGAAAAACTGCAATTGTTTAGTACTTGATAACTTATCTCGAGAAAAATGTTGGACAAATAACACTGGATGTTTCTCGGCTATTGTTTCAAGTTCCGTTTAATATACACACGGAAACTTTAGCGTCTGCTTCTGTGCAATAGGAATTTTGCGGTGAAATTTGACTGCTTCTTGAGTGCTTCGCGAAAGTAAGCTTTCGACCAAAATAAACGTGTCACGAAGCAGAAAGTAAAGCGATACCTCTCTACTATGTGTCAGCGACCTTTGTATCTTATCTGTTTCTCTTTTTTTTCCACAAAAAATTTTCTTATCTCCTCAAAAACTAGCCGAGGTGATCTTGCACCATTAAAATCTCTCACGATGCTCTAATTGGCAGCCGATAAGACGATACTGTGGAGATATTTTTGGCTCACCGTATATACAGATGCGAAAAACGATTATCTAATTTGCATCGTGCGTAAGTAGCGCTTCGTAAGCAGAAGTATCTGTGCGCGGGTCGTCACGCGAGAATTATTAGCCTGGCATTAAGCGTTTTATAAACTCGCGGTCGATAGCGAGGAACTACAACGCATTACGCAAACAAAAAATAAATGCAAAGTGCAACCAGAGATATAAGTGTTCTCTTATCGCCGTGTCAAAAGCGTCGTTTCTCTCCCATTCGTTGCTTATCGTGTATGAATTAGTTTCCATTTTTATATTATGAAGTTATGAAGAACTTGGGACGAAGAAACTCGTTCTGTCTGCCTCTCGGCGCACAAATTCCGCTAGCTTCTCGCAACTTGAAGCGCGAAATGTAGAATACGAAGACATTTCAGCGTGCGAATGCCACGTACACGCGCGAGAATTATTTTCTTTCGACGAACGTTGTGGAGAGCCTTCCGTATTCGTAGAGCACCAAGTCTTATACTTTGATTTCATTGACGTCAGCATTATCTAACTGTAAGCACACGATAATAGTAAATTTAGGCTGCCAATTTGCTCCTCGAGAGTCGTGTAGTCTTCTTATCTCCCTTCGTTATCGGAGCACAGTTTGATTTTCAAATTCTACTTTCTTTATCAATATCTACCTGTTTTTCTAAATTCCTCGCGCACGATAATAAACTGTCGAAACGATGTCGTAGAGCTGTCGTAGATTGTATCGAAAACTCACGAGTGAATTGGTTTCAGCCGAACAGTGGTCGATAAGAAAATTAATCTTAATCGCACGGAATTACCAGCGTGTTCAAGAGGACCTTTAGGGCAATTACAAATTTCCAATACGTTTAATTCCTCACTGCTAAGCTTCTCCAGTGTGTTGATTTAAACGTTCAGGCCACGAGACTGAAAAATTGGTTTCCTCCGAATGAATTTGATAAAGCGCGCATGTTTACAGTGTTACCTTGTATCGGCCCGGATACGTCAGCGATACGAAAAGGGAGACGGCGATCTGTATGAGAGTCGATCGGTAACGGAGCAAGCAGGGTGTGCCAGAGATGAGCGGGCATGCAACCCGTCCCGGTGAGGGTAGCCAAGCGGTACTCGAGCGTATTCAGGCGTCCGTGCTGCCGATCGCTGGAAAACACGCCACGTCGACATCGGCCCCGCCAATGGAGAAGCAAGATGTTGAGATTGCAGTAAGAAAATGCATTTGTCAATACGGGATTCTGCAAATAAATTAATCGGTGTACAGAATTAAATATATCACAACCCAGTAAACACCAAGTAGCAGTTACATAACATCAATATTGTAATTTCCTACTCCACAATGTAAATGTAATATTATAACGCGCGCGTTGCACTACATTCATATTGTTGAGTAGGAAATTATAATATTGATGTTATGTAACTGTTACTTGGTGTTCACCGAGGGGTAAGCCGCTGGAGGCATTTGTTAGAGTATTAGGCCTTGCTGAGGCATTACAAAGATAACATAAGATAAAACAAGATAAAACAAAATAAATAAGATGCAGTAATCTCCACTGGGCATTAGTGGGCATTGATGTACATGATTTTGGTCAGCGGTTTACCCCTCGGTGTTCACTGGAAATTGTATAAGTTTATCGAGTCTCACGAGTAACGGTGAAAACCTATACTTATCAAAAGACCTTTTAGTTTGCGCACTGCACAGTTGAAAAATTTGTGTTTTCTTGTTAAAACAAATGCCGGTTAAAATTTTTGTGTTAAATGTTTGACACATTCATGTGTTGATTTAACATATTGCTCTTGTGTTAATTGACCTCAAACGTAAGATTATTAAAGTAACCGAAAAGAAATGTTAAAACAACACAGTGTGTACTTATTTTTTAATCTTACACAATACATATGTTCTATATTATTAGCGACAAGATTTATCTGTTAAAATTTACAGAATAAAATGTTGATTTTTTATTCTATGCAACATAAGTGAGAACGATTTCGAACCGTCATTTGACTTATTACACCTGTAAAAATTGCATTAAAAAAATTCATTTTGTCATTAAAAAATATGTTAATTTTACACAGAATTTATTTCAAATTATTTTGAGATTTGCATTTATTTTGTGTTAAAATATTAACAGAGTATTAGTGTGATCATTTAACATATCCATATTATATTAAATTAACACAAAGATTTATGTGGGCCGTTTGGGATATATGATATCTGTTAAATTTAACACAAGTTTTTCAACTGTGTAATAATATATTTGATGTTATTCATTTCTTGCGTACAATGAAGAATAACATGACGTGTGTACGTTACAGAGCAAACAGAAAAAATGCACCGGCAAGGAGATTTCGAATACCCAAAGGGTGTGGACGAGTCTGGTATCCGGTGCGATAGCGGGGGCTTTAGCGAAAACCACGATAGCGCCGTTAGACCGAACGAAGATAAATTTTCAAATTTCGAAGCAGCCCTACTCGGCCAGAGCAGCGATAGGATTCTTGACCACTGCGATGCGCACCGAGGGCCTCCACAGCTTGTGGCGTGGAAACAGCGCTACCATGGTCAGGATAGTGCCATACTCGGCGGTGCAATTCACGGCGCACGAGCAATACAAGAGGATTCTGCACATAAACGGCGCGGAAAGGTATCGCACGAAAGACTCGGCGAGGTCTTTAGCAAACAGAGGAGCAATTACGATTCGAGCGGGAGGGGAACGCTGTGTGCAGACTTGGCACTGTGATTATAAATGTTTACAGAGAAAAGCCATGGGCGAGCTTCCTGGCCGGCGCGCTCGCGGGTGTGACATCGCAGACCATGACCTATCCGTTGGACTTGATGCGGGCGAGGATGGCGGTGACCCTGAAGGCTGAGTACAAGAGTCTGCGGCAGGCGTTCGTGCGAATGTACAAGACAGAGGGAATGTTGGCGTACTACCGCGGCTTCATCCCCACGATCCTCGGTGCCATCCCGTACGCCGGCTGCAGCTTCTTCACGTACGACTTGCTGAGAAACTTACTGAGCGGTGAGTCGATCCCATTCACACGACTGAATCCTCCTTACGCCCGTCGACGGTGGCGGTGCTTGTACTCACATACATACACACATACACATGCGAAAGAAAGACAATCGAGGGTTATACGAATGAGAGTGGCTGTTGTATATGATCGTAAAGCAGGGTACCGATGGGGCACGTCGGGGGCACCCTGTTTCCCCTGATATTGGGACGGTACTAACGGTTTAATAGCGACGCGAGACAAGCCCGACCGGCGGCGTATTTCGAAGTGCTGCGTGCTTCATGTTCGATGATGGCTACGTGTCGATGAACAGTGTACACGGTGACTATTCCGGGATTCTCGACCTCGCTCATTTGCGGCGGCATCGCTGGAATGGTCGGTCAGACAAGCAGCTACCCACTGGACATCGTGCGGCGGAGAATGCAGACGTCAGCGATCAAGGGCCAGCATTATCACACGATCACGTCGACCGTCGTGAAAATTTACACGTGAGTATTTACGCGGCGCTTTAAGATGTAACAGTAGAGTAGCTGTCTAGTTATGAATAAGTAAATTATAAAATCGGCCTACACGGACTGAGCCGACACAAACGTGTCTCTTAAATTTCGAGAAACAAAGATATTTACAGATGTAGAAGTCGATGCATTTGATAACACATTTTCCATCATAAATGTAATTCTATACAGAAGTGTATTGATAAATTATCGTTGTACATGTTACAGGGAGGAAGGAATAATGGCTTTTTACAAAGGCTTAAGCATGAATTGGGTAAAGGGTCCTATTGCCGTCGGAATCAGCTTTGCCACGCACGACACAATACGGGGCACACTGAGGAAAGTTATTTGTGAAGATACATAGAATTAATTGCACTTTGAAAGTTTGGGATTATTGTGGAATAATGCCAACTAACCAATAATTGTAATGATTAATTATAATTATTAATTATTGGTATATACCATTATAATTACAATTATTGCTTGACTGTTATCCAAATACAGTTATATAATTATTATTATTCATAATTATACAAGTAATAATTATAATTATTAACCATTACGTAACTTCATCATTTAACAAAAATTATTTTAATGGTGGATAATATGTCGGCATACAATTTGAAATTTTGCTTGACATAAAAAAAAGTGAAAACTAGTGCGCAAAGCACCCATCGACGACAAGAACGTAAAATAATACTGCAGTAGATCCGTTATTAATAATATAAGGAAACTAGTTGGTTTGTTATTTTGTGTGGGCATTTTGCCACAACATGGGAAGTCATTAGTACAAATTGTTAAATATTATGTACATATTGTTATTCCAAACATTATAGAAATCGTTGGAAAAGATGAAATGTAATATGTGTAGATGCATACACCAAATTGTAATATAAGCATTGGTCCCGTAATATGAAAGTATGGTTTGTATTTCTAGCTTTCTTAACTTCGAGTATGGTGAAAGAGATGTGATTTTTATAAAAATATGATTTACTTGCCTTAATTGTCTTACAAATTTTACGATTAAAGCGAATAAGTTGTTGTATAATTTACATTCGAAATATTGTACATAATCGCGCACACGGCACTTTTACTTTGAAGATCGAAATACTCACGAGAATATTAGTTTTCCTAAATCCATGTAAAATATGGAAATATTGTACAGTTTGTAAGATAAGTTACGCTGGAAATTGAAACATTTAGATCATATTTTATTTGACCATTATGCTTACAGCGTAATTTATTCATTTTGGTGCTGCAATGACTAATCTACGTCTATTTCTCTTTTTTTTTCAATAAAGACTGCAATCGATAACGACAATAAAGTTTACAACTTGCATCGTAAAAAGATCCAACGTAACGTTATATATAAATCTACATTACAATTTATCAGTGTTAAAAATGAATTTGTATATTTGCTTTATTTACATTTCAGCATTTTATGATCGAATACTTTTAAATATCTTGTATATACTTTTAAATGCTGTGCCACATTTTATGTTAACAGTTGAAATGTGAAATATAATAGAAAATAAAGAAGGGAATCAGTCACTTTGTATTGGTCAAAGAAATCTTTTTATGGCCGATGCAGAAAGTCATTGCCTTCTCTATATTTTACAATATACTTTACGCTTAAACTTAGACTTATTAACAAACGCCATCTCTTTGATAATTTCATATTCGCTTTCTTAACAATCGGTTTAAAAAGATTTTCAGAACTAATATAAATTATGACACACATTGCATTGTATAAAAAAAATTATTCTTTAAAACTTTGTAGCTGATTTACGATCATTGTATTGGTTATATATAATGTGAAGTCATTTAGTAAATATATAAATTTTATACAGTGTACACAGTTTCTTATTTCAGCTCAATTATGTCTTTATCTTTATAATCTTATTAAAAGTATAAAAAGTAGAAAAGTTTTTGTATTTCAGATCACGCACGCAGTACGGTATGATCGAGAAATTCTAGATTGTAACGTTAAACATTTGATATGCAGTCTATGTATAAATTATATAAGTATAATCAAGTCATTTATCTAATAAAGTGGACAAAGACTATCGTCAAAATGTCGATGTAGTGTCATGTATAAGATGGAAACAAAAGTATCGTGACATCGTATCGAGGTGAGAATATGACAATGTCGTAAGAATCTGTACGGGTGCAAATCAGATTTATTTCCTAAAAAATCGAACGAGAATATTTTTATAAAACGTACAACTCATTGAACTTCGTGCGACATACCATGATATTTCCAGGAAATGCATGTAAATTACCGCAATCAGAATATTTACAATTATTCACAAATGCATTTCTACTACCATTCGTTTCTCACCTTGAATGCATGGAAATCGATGAGTTTTACCAATTTTTATCATTGTACTTGCATTTTGTATAAACTTGCTAATTACTTTGGCTTGGTCTCCTGGTCGTTGACGTACCTTATGTAAATTTCTCGCTCGTCACTGCCGCCCGGCGGAATCTCGGCTTTGTTTAAATATCATCATGGCTAAAACTGAGCTTGATCGTGTGCAAAAACTCAGTTGAATCTGGTTGAATCTCACTTCTCAAGAATCAAAAGGAACATGCATTCAACTGAGTTACGACGTCACAAGTGAGATTTATCTCAGTTTTCACGTGAAAAAGCAACTTTCCTCGTGGCCCGCCGGGCTTACATGTGTTATCTCATTTCGCACACTCCTGATCGCTCGCTCCCATTACGAAAAATCAATAAAATCAATCAATTCGTAGCACGGACACGCACCAAGTGGAGACTTTATCGGCGGTGCTGAAAAATAGGTGTAGCGAAATAGTTCCAGAAATGAAAACGGGCGGAAGGCGCTGGAATCAGCCGAGAGAAAACGGTATCGAGTAAAACGCCGGCGTGGCCGCTCTCTGCATATATAACGTCCGTGGTGAAGGTTAATTGTTTTCCGCCCCTTCTTGGATAACAAGGTAGAAAAAAGTAGGAAGACTTGACCAGACTTGACTGAACGTGAAATTGGCCCTTAAAGTATTCCTTTCGTTTCTTTCAATAAAAACAAAAGGAGAGAAACGCTTCGAACAGCTTGTCCGGAGACTGGTCCTAGATCGCATCCAACGTGATCCAACGTGTTGACGAAATGGAGAAATCACGTCGAGTGGCGCAAACGGAGGATTTATCGAACGTGGAGTTCGAAACCAGCGAGGATGTCGAGGTTATTCCTACCTTCGACAACATGGGTCTCCGCGATGAATTGTTGCGTGGAATCTACGCGTACGGTACGTCGTTCGCCGCTCATCGTCTCGAGCTAACCTCACTTTTTACGCAGCTTATTTTTTTTTCCTAGGTTGAACCGCCGTAAATTGGTTTACGGAGAAAACGGATCGCCTCGCGTGCACGATCGACGCGATGCGCGTTTTCTTTCCCTTTTCTAAAGATATCGAGACCCGGTGTTTCATTTTCTGTTTAAGTATTTGGCCCGGTCTACAATGAGTCGTTAGTCGTTAGTCAGAAGTCGCAACTATATGTTGATCCTTTTCCTTTCTGGGTAGAAGAAAAAGGACCGACATATAGTTCCAACTTCTGACTAACGACTAACAACTCATTGTAGACCGGGCCTTAACCAAACCGAGCCTGATTGTGGGAATCCGAGGGGGAAACCGCTGACGGCATTGTGGTGTACAGATTTGCGGCATTACTGGGCATTTTTTGGGCATTACGTCTTGCTGAGGCATTATAAAGATAAAATAAGATAAAAGAAGATAATAAGATAAAGTAATGCCCGCTGGACATTAGTGGGCATTGGTGTACAAGATTTTGGTCAGCGGTTTCCCCCTCGTGGGAATCTTTTGTTGCAATTGCCAGCAACTTTCGACCATACGTTTGCGTTTGTCGGATTTTCTCCCTCGTCCATGTTGTCCTTGCATCTTTACCAATGCGCTATCGGGAAACAGCGTGATTTGTAGTAACATCTCAATCTGAAATGTGCCCTTGAATACGTGAAATATATTTTATTTCTACTCCCGTATAGGCTTTGAGAAACCGTCAGCCATCCAGCAACGATCCATCAAACCCATCATGAAGGGCAGAGATGTGATAGCGCAAGCACAATCTGGTACGGGAAAAACGGCCACTTTCTCGGTCGCGATATTACAGTCGCTGGACACGCAAGTACGAGAGACCCAAGTTCTGATTTTGTCCCCGACTCGAGAACTCGCCACTCAGATCCAGAAGGTTATCCTCGCGCTGGGGGACTTCATGAATGTACAATGTCACGCTTGCATCGGCGGTACGAATCTTGGAGAAGACATCAGAAAGCTTGACTATGGTCAGCACGTCGTGTCTGGTACACCTGGTAGAGTATTTGGTGGGTGTCGCAATTTTTATATTTACTTACACGAGAAATCACTGGTGGCTTCTTCCCATATGAATTTAGGCATATGTAGAACACGTACACATTTTCCATGTATGTACAAGCAGAATGTATAAATGTGTCGATATGTGCACAAGTTTACGTGGGATCAATGATTCCTCGTGTACATGATGCGAGAAAGGATTTTTATTGGTGCTAACGCGCGTAAAAAAAATTGTGCAACTAGATATGATTAAGAGGCGAGTACTCAGGACTAGAGCTATCAAAATGCTGGTATTAGACGAATCCGACGAGATGCTGAACAAAGGATTTAAGGAACAGATTTACGACGTGTATCGATATCTACCACCGGCGACGCAGGTTGTCTTAGTTTCGGCCACCTTACCGCACGAAATACTCGAGATGACTAGTAAATTTATGACTGATCCCATCCGTATCCTCGTCAAGCGGTAAATAATTTCATCTTCAATTGTTATTAAACGCGTACGTATGTCGCTCTAATTACGTCTAATTCCAGTGATGAATTGACACTGGAAGGGATCAAGCAGTTCTTCGTCGCTGTCGAACGAGAAGAATGGAAATTTGACACGCTTTGCGACTTGTACGACACGTTAACGATAACGCAAGCGGTTATCTTTTGTAATACTAAACGTAAAGTCGACTGGTTGACGGAAAAAATGCGAGAAGCCAATTTTACAGTCTGTTCCATGCACGGAGATATGCCACAGAAAGAACGAGACAACATAATGAAAGAGTTTCGTTCTGGTCAGAGGTAAGATAAAGTTCCGAAGGTAAAGTCTACGGTTTATCTTTTTTGCAAGAAGTTATATCAATACACTTCCCTTCTTTCTTTACAGTCGCGTGTTAATCACCACGGACGTATGGGCGAGAGGAATCGACGTTCAGCAGGTGTCGCTCGTAATTAATTACGATTTGCCTAATAATCGTGAATTGTACATTCATAGAATAGGTCGATCAGGACGTTTCGGCCGTAAGGGCGTATCGATAAACTTCGTGAAAACTGATGATATAAGAATTCTCCGAGATATCGAACAATATTATTCTACGCAAATAGACGAAATGCCGATGAACGTGGCTGATCTGATATAAAGTGCGACAAATTTACGTGTAGATTAAATATGTTTCGTGTACAAAGATCTCTTTTTCCCTTAATTTTGATTACTCGTTAATACGCGTATAAAAGACGGTATGATGATATCAATAATGTCACCATACCAACCAATTTTCAAAACCAGTTTACTCGAAAATTCTTCGATATCATATCTTTAAGTTATTTTTAGCATAATTTATACTATTCTTATAAGAGGGAATGATATAATAAATAGAGGGAAGTATTTCGTCGCTTTTTATATCGTATAAGTGACAAAGCTATTCGAATGTAACGTGTAAGAAAACTGGACTAATCATACCTGTTTCTCACTAGGTTGCATCATTGATTACGCAGTAAACACTTTTCTTTATGAGAATGGAATAAATTATTCTTTTGTACGTCTTGAACTCCAAAGGCATTACTTGTGTACAATACTGTGAAAACAGATTTCCTTAATAAAATATTTTATGATAACTTTAATTAGTCATTTTTCTCTTCTATAAATTGGTCATTATTCTCTTATATAAATAACAGTTTTAATATAGAAATTAGCCATGTCTCTCTCACACACACACACACACACACACAAGCTAATGCATACTCGTACGTACGTTCTATATATCCGCGTACAAATAATCAATAACTCTGCTGTAGCTGTTCCAGAGTTCAGATGGCAGCGCGGCGTAGCACAGTAACACGCGTTGAACCCGAAATGAAGCCAAAATAGAGAAAATAAAAGCCTGGTGTTGACAATGCGCAACTCTAGAGATACGAGTGAACGTACATAGCTTATCGCGTTAAAAATGTGGGCGAAACATACAAGACACAATAATAAACTAGTGATAAGAATAATCGTTTATTTTCGTGATAATATTGGAAGTGCAATATGAACGTGCAGCTTTTAGCAATATATGTATACATTAATTACAATATCTTAAGTCGACAAGGTAAATAATATTAACGGTATGAACAAAGAAACTAACAGCTTACAGTCCGACATACGCGTGAAATTCATGTTCATTTTTTATCGCTATGTATTAACTTCTGTAATTAATTGATAAAGATTAAAAGAACAGCCGAAGGAAATGGAGCAACAAAATGACTGCACGATTCAGAGAGGACAACCATTGCGTCGCTATCCAAATGATTACAAAGCAGACGGACTCTCATCTACCTGTATGTACTTATAAATTGTTTCGAGGCTGTATGAGCATTGACATTTTAAAATATTTATCATCCTTTCGCTCTTCTCTCGTTTACAGTGAGTAAAACGATGACGAGTCAACCGCAGTATTCGAACACAGGAAGACCCACCGTACGCGTAGCCGTTTACTTAATGACGGGGGTATTCTTAACAATGGAAGTTGAACAGAATGCGACTGCACAGCAGATTTTCACGGTAGTGCAGTCGGAGGCGGAGCTGGGTCTATCGAGATACGCTTTGGCAACCACTACGCCAATTTTCGCACTGTGGATGTGTTCCTCGCAGCTGGAAGTTCAACTGCGTCCAACACACAAGCCCGTGGAATTGGCTGCAAAATGGAATTATCTTGTCAACAAGTACAGCTCTCGTACGGAAGACCCCAACGACGAGGAACCGTTGCTATATTTTCGTAGAAATATATTTCTCTCCAAGTCGGAGGAGGAACAGATCAAGGATACCAAGGTCCTTGAACTGCTCTATGCAGAGGCCAAGTACAACATTCTAGAAGGTACGGAACAAAGGAAGCAAGATAATTTTTCTGTAGAAATAGTGCAATCTCTTTAATAATATAAATTTGTCTTCTCATCCAGGACGGTACGCGTGTGATGGGCCCGCACGTTACGCTAGTCTAGGAGCGTTACAGGCCCGAATCGAACTTGGGCCTTATAACGCGCAAACCCACACCTTGGCGTTTTTCCACAGACATCGCGGTCGATTTTTACCGCATCATTACGCTTCTCCCAGTCTACTACTAGGACTGGGACTCGGATTGGGATTGGTGGGCGGCAAGGGAGCACCCGAGGCGCACCTTCTGGAACAATACAAGCGAATACCTAATCATAACGGTAGCGCCAACGCGAATCCCAAGAAACTGATTCGAAAGTATCTCGAGTTCTGTTGGAACTTACCGTGCTACGGCGCAGCCTTCTTTCAAGGACAAATCGAACGACCCGTCAGAGGACTCGCGTCCTGGATCACTAATCGCGATATGCAGGTTCTCATTGCGATCAATACATCGGGGGTGTACATAGTCGACGATATGCAATGCGTAAGTGTGGTGTTCATCGAGCCGAAATTCTTACTTGAATGCGACAACTTCGAACGGCACTTTGTATAAAGATATATCTGTATACAGTATATAGTATAGTAACATTTGAAATATATTTATGTAGAGCTTGCTATTAGGGCTAAAATACTCGGAATTAAGCTGGGAAATGGCGAAACCCTCGGATGAGAATAATCCGGATTGTCTACCTTGCTTGTTCCTGCAATTTCCAGTACGAGAGAACGGAGCGCGTGTCTACAAGATTCTGCAAGTGTTCTCAAGACAAGTAAATAAATCGTTTCGAAAATGATATACGTGTAATACGTATATTATCAATAATATATGCGTAATTACTTTTATAAATGCAAAATATCGTACAGTAGAGATCGCTCTTTCAGGTGCCGATGATGGACACTTTAATATCCGGCTTTGCGGAGGACTGTCGCCGTCAATTTGTTAACAGCGACAACAATAACGATCACTTGGATCATTCGTTAGTTTTCCCCAGTGGAAGCTTCACAAATAAACTGAGTAAATTTACGCTGGCCACTTTTGATGACGAAGGTAATGAAACAATGTTACAAGATCGTCAAATGCCGATTTATTTATTTCCTAAAATCATTATAGGTCGATGCATTGGTCAAATGGGGTCGTGGTCCTTTCGGTAAATACATTGTGATTGTACATTTTGTGATGCCAATATATTCCCTGATGATACAAAAGTACGAGTATAATTTTTTAAATATCTGGGAATTCCTTTTGCGTGCGAGCTAATATAAAACTTGTATGTACGTATACATTTCTTAATATGGTTTTTCAATGTTTCTTAAGTACTTGGAGATGCGGATTTTGCCGTAAACGATCTACCAGTATCCTGTATCTCTGCGGTACCATATTTCTGTGCTGATTGAGATACGTTTCTAACACGTGTATATCGAAGCTTGTCTCGTTTATCTTGGCTAGTATTTGTTCCTCCTCCGCTTTCGATAAATCGACAGACTGCATGTAAATATTTATAATAATTGTATGAAAATACATCGATGTATTGCACAGATAAGAGTACCTGGTGTGAACCAATGTACAGAACAAAGCTACCGACGAACCTGCGTTAGAAGGGCCTGTATCTTCTCTAATTCCGCAGCCTGTTTTTCGATCATACGTAAAATACGATTTGCTTTGTGAACGGACACCTGCTTGAAGTCGCTCAAACAATCGTCGCGCAGCAGATACGCCTCCGTTTTACTGACAGACGCCGGATTGCCTATTCGCGCGAGATATGGTCCCAATTCGTTGATCTCTTCCATAATTTCGCGTTTACTCGATCGCCTCATCGCTTTCTGAAAGCAGATTGTGCGGTTGATTAACAAGAGGAGAGATTTCAATTGTATTGTCGACATAAATACCACGTCTAATTCGACTGTTTTAGCCGTTCGATTTCTGTCGAATAACGAAATTGTCGACTGCGGATTTAGATTTTCATCGGCCCTTCTTCGTAGAAATGCTGCAATATCGGCTTCGGCGTCCCTGATGTGAGATACAGCGTGATCTTCGTCCCTCAGATGTCTATCGAGCGCGTAAAAGAGATCGAGATTTTTCTCCGGCGGCGCAGTCAGATCTGGCTAAAGTAAAGGTTTCAGATTACGCTCCTCCTTCTTTTGCCAATATTTTTACTATACCAAAAATTTACGTTATATCCATAGGTCATCGTAGGATCGAAGACTAGTCGATCTCCCCTGTCCGCCATCGACGGTTTTATGAAAGTGCGAGTAGCTCGGGTACTCCGGTCTTGATCGTAATGAAATTTAATACAGATTTCGTTTTCGATCATCGCGAACTCACGGATAGCCACGTCCTTGGATGCCGGGATTTTCTCGTTCCTGTGATACTTCTCAATGATCTTCTGCGAGATGCAAAGAGTCAATTGTCTTGTGTACATTATAAATTTATTATTAGAAGCATTACCGAAATGCGTCGAGAACGGATACCGTCCGCCGTATTGTCCTGGTTTGCTGAAAATTCGGTGTGTCTGTCAAAATAATACAAGAATATTATTAATAACTTTTGAACTAGGTCCTTTAAGATATAAAACAATTTAAAACGTAAAAACCATTAGGACCTGGCACAGGTGGAGGTGGCCAATTAAATTACTAAGTGAATCCATGTACCGTTTGTTTTCAACCTGTCCTGCGCGCCATTACATACCGGACATATAACACAGGTTTTTGTTAGGTGGAAGTTCACTTAGTAATTTAATTAGCCACCTCCACCTGTGCCAGGTCCTAATGGCTTTTACGTTTCAAAAATATTAGTACTCATTAATAAAAATAATATTACGTATATGCATGCCTTTATATAAAAGAGAAATTTGTACGTGCAGAAAAAATATCTGTTTTCTTCTCCGTTCGCCGAAGTCTTTCGAGAGAACTGGCAAGACAACAGTGAAAATTAGACGCGGTAATATTAGTTTACCTGTAATACAAGAGGTCGTCACGATCCACGTAATGTTGAGTCAAATGAAGCGAGCCCGTCTCGATGCGCGACAGCCCGTCAAATTGTGCGCTATCGTAAAAATTTATTGTTCTCTCGCCGTCTATCGAATCGCTATTGGACCCAAGATATCGATGCGCTGAAATATTTTTTATTATCAAGAGCGAGACCCTGAGTTCGCGCTGTGACATTTTATTCCGAACAATACCTCTGCAATGATCCGGTCGACCTTTCTCAAAGAAATTCGTGACGGTGTTCGTAACGAAGTCTTTCCTGGATTCCACGAGACAGTCGCCTCTGTTCGAATATTTGTCGTAACTTTGGACAGGAGTGGTATACTCGTAATCTTCGTAAACGGTTACTCTCTGAGTTAAATTATCGGGCCGAATGTACGGCGCGTATAATTCTACCTTGGCCTTTTTGTAAAGTATCGTTTTACTGCCCTGCGGATATCGTCTTTCAAAATCTGAAAAAGCGACATGCCAGATAGACAATTTTGTAACAGAAATCGTCCAGAGAACCATTACTATCATACCCATATTGATTTTAATTTTATTTTCTTGATTATAGGTAATTTAATTATTTTAGAAGCGTAAAAATATAGAAAAAGATACACACGTATAGTAACTTTTAAAAAGTACAATGATTAATAAAACTGTTATTGAGAGGATTCAGTAAATTATGTTTAACGATTACAAAACGTTGAATATGTATACTGGCAAGTTCAAATTAAGATTTAAGTAATGATGTCGCAATTAGATTTTGTAATTAATCAATTTTTTTAGGAGCGCGAAAATATAGAAAAAGATACACACGGAGTAGCTTTTTTGAGTACAATAATTAATAAAACTTATTAAGAGGATTCCGTAAATGTTTAACAATTAAAAAATGTTAGATATGTGTAGTAGTAAGTTCAAATTAAGATTTAAGTAATGGTATCGCTATTAAGTTTTGTAATGAAACGAAAGAAATGGATATTTCGGATAACGAATTACAAAAAGAAACGTTGAACGGCAGTAATGGATCTCTCTATAAATTAAACGGAACAGTAGAACAATATTCGGCGCCTAATATTTGTTCGATAAAACATTGTAGCAGTTTTAAGCTCGGTTTCACCAAACGTCGCTTAACTTTAATCTTAGTTTAATTCATGTTTGTCTCTTTCTAAAGTAACAGTTGGAAAGGGAAAAAGAACGACTTAAACTAACAATAAGCTTAAAGTTAAGCGACGTTGGTGAAACCGTGTCTTAAACTGATACACACCATCAAATCTTGTATTTAAGATCATCTTAAGTATAGTTTTAATGTGTTATAAATCAATATTTATTCCCGTTTCTACCAGGATACAGATTAACTTTAATCTCGGTTTAGATTACTTCTTATCTTTTTCAATTCGTAAAACTAGAAGAAGAAAGTTAAATCGAGATTAAACTGCGCTGGTAGAAACGGGCATTAATATGTGTTATAAACTCATAGAGCCGGATATTAGAATCTTAAAACGTTACGTTAAGACGATCTTGAAGTAAGAACGGAATAAAAACATTGAAGTTATGTTGAAAAACTATTTGCGTGTCGAGTCTGTAACGTACGGCGCTTGTTTTCGTGCCGCCGCGAGACAAGGTCGCCGCGTCGTCGCCCGACCGGCCCGACCATTCGCTCGGCGACGCTCGAGCCGGCGGGTCGTGTCCGCGAGTCGCTCCGCATTATTAGTGAAAAGTCCTGTGTTACGCGATAGAATTCTAATGTGAGATGGTAGATCTTCAACGTCCAAATTCAACCACAAATCTTTTTCGCGACGATCACGCGACATAACAATCAATTTTCCTCTAAGCAGAATTCACTCGAAAGGCAATAATTTACCGGTTCAACGCGACGAGCAGTGATTTTAAGCGCTTCTCTGATAACTCTAACATTCTGGCGTACTGTTTCATCGAGCTTTGAGTTTTCTGCAAGGATTTAAACGTGGCGCCGGACAGGCTGCGCAACTAGTTGGCTTCGAAAGCGCGAGCCAATCACGTTCGATCGTTGCTCAGGTTGCTCGGTAAGCGATTGGTAGTACTGGATACGCTCGTCGACAATGTAAGTAATACGCGAGTCGCCGGAGTGACGGAGGAATAAACGCGATCGACAATTATATTACCAAAGTGTTACTTGCACGGGACTCGGGACGCATCAGATTAATCCATCATTACAGATTAATGCATTTCGAATCGAGCGTGCACTTTCGAACGGTCGGTTCGCGTCTCCGTTAACGGCTCAAGCAACTGGCGTTGTGTCGCGTGACGTCACAGCGAAATTAGCGTTCAACTGTTTTAGAAAAATTCCATCGGAAAGTCGCGAGTTTGGATCAACCTTGCGTCGAGCGGCGTCGCGACGCGCTCCAGTGGTGAGTTCAGCGCAATTAGGTCAATTCTCCAACGGTCCGTCGGCTGAATCGCGTATATTCGATGTCGTAATTAGCTCCAGACGTGCGTACGCGGCGGGAACGGGCGCGATCGGTGATGCGGAGGTGGGGCGTCACACGGAGCGTAAGGTTACTTACTGCGTAACTTGTGTAAGCGTAATCTGCGTGTCGCCAATCACTTGGTCATTCGGACAGAACCGTCCCGATTATTCCGTCGAAATGGGCCCGTGATTGGCAATACGCGGGTCACGCACGTTAAGCTGGCGACAGAGAACGATCCGCAAACGCTTAAGACTGTCTCGGTCGTAGACGTAGGGCAAGCCAGAGAGAATCGTAAGTCGTACAATAGCCTTTCACGACTTACGTTTCTCTCTGCCTTGCCCTACGTCTACGACCCGAGACAGTCTTAAGCGTTTACGGATTGTTCCCTGCCATCAGCCTAAAGCCTCCGCTACAATGATTCTCGGTTCCGTCTACAATGGTCGTAGTCGTAGTCGCTCGATAAGAATTGACCAATCGCAGTCGATTATTCTTACGACTACGACCATTGTAGACGGAACCGAGAATCATTGTAGCGGAGGCTTAAGAGTAGTCGGCGCGAGCGTGACAACGACCGTGTTTTCGGGCACTGCGTATCCCGCGGGTGCTCGTCTCTACGTCGGAGCTCTCGGATCGCAGTTGATCTCGTAAGTGCGCGACGCGATACCGACAGATTATTTAAGCGCGAGATCGTAGCTGCTCGAAGTTAGCAGCGCGCTTTTCCGAATCGTGTCCGCCATCTTGACAATTTGTAGCGTCCGCGTAACGTCGTAGTAAGCTCGTGCCAGGTATTCGTCGCGTCGCAGAGCGATTATCGTCGGGAGTACCGCACGAAGTGCCGCTTGATATTGTCTTCAACGATTGGTTCGCAACGAGCGATCGTCGTTCGCGTTCCTCGCGAGCGGATGGCTGATGGCAGAGAACTATCCGTAAGCGCTTGAGACTGACGTAGTCGTAGACGTAGGACAAGGCAGAGAGAAACGTAAGTCGTGAAAGGCTATTGTATACGACTTACGTTTCTCTCTGCCTTGCCCTACGTCTACGACTGAGACAGTCTTAAGCGTTTACGGATTGTTCTCTGCCATCAGCCGATCTTGCAAGCAGCGAGCGTCGTAAAGAAAAAATGAAACGAGCGGCGCCGAGCGACTCGTAGTTTTGTGACCGTCTCGAGGTATTTTCGCTCAAGCGCGTGTGATCGTCATCGGGAGTGCCGTGCAAAATATCGTGCGACTTTGTGCTCCGATCAGTTGCGCAGGTAATCAGCGGGTGTTGACGGTATACGAAGTGCTTCTTCGTAAACACCCAGTGATGTATGCAAGTGATTAGTAAAGTGAGTGTGATTGGTGAATCTTGGGCGAGTGCCAAGGGCCGCAACGCATAGGATCTGAGAGGAGGAGGCGGCTCGGGGGAGCATCAGGCGCCGGTGGAACAACCATGGGTGAGTCTCCTTTGGTTTTTACGAAATATTCGTGGTCCATTGCCGCGACGCGACGCGGCTACGGTGATATTAAATGTATTTATCTCGGGACTTTTTCAATATGTAATATTTGTAACATCGATGCAATATATTTGAAGGCACGTACTAAGGCTGGTGTTAGATTCTAGAGACTCGAGAACTTTTCTACCTCGATAAACTTGAGAAGATTACTTGACCACGTCTGGCAAATTTTTATGTTTCAACTCGCTACGTTTCGACCATGGTTTGTGGTCCTTTACAAGTGATAATTGTGTCAATAGTTCCGTAAAAGATTAAAGAATTAAACATGCGCAATGATTATCTTTTGTAATATTACGTATTTTGGACACTGTTTTAACTCGAATGTATCTCTGTGTTACAGATTAATGCAGCTTCGACTCCACTGTTGCGCATCGGTGTCGGTGAGTGCGACTTTCAAATAAACCGAGGGGGAAACCGCTGAGGGCACTGTGGTGTACAGATTTGCGGCATTACTGGACATTACTAGGCATTTTTTGGCATTAGTTTAGGCATTAGGCCTTGCTGGGGGATTATAAAGATAAAATGAGATAAAATAAAATTAAACAAGATAAATAAGATAAAATAAAGTAATGCCCACCGGGCCTTAGTAGGCATTGGTTGTGCCTAGTGCAAGATTTTGATCAGCGGTTTCCCGATCAAGTACTACTTTACGTTACTCAACTTTCTTTGCTTTTTATTTTACAAAGTCCATCAGTTTCTCCTCCCGCGAGGAGGTCTATTAATTAGAAAATAGACTTAAATCGAAAAAAAACAATGTGTTTACATACCTAAACTGTGAATTCGGATTTCACTCACGTACGAGGCCGGCATGTCCAAATGCTGGTCCTGTTTCACGCCCGCGTCATCCTCGGTCTCGTCCGCGTCTTTTCGCGCGACTCGCGGCTCCCCGGGAAGGAGGTGTTCCCAGAACTCGATCTTACTCAAGTCCCAGTTCATTTCTGCGCAGCCCTTTCCACGCGGCTGCATATTTACCCAATAATTCTGATTGTTCCAAATACTCTCGACTCCCAGATACAACGAATTCGTTTCCTCGTCGGTCGGGTCGTAAGACATTCCGGAGGATGGCTCGAGGAAAATCGGCTCGGTGATTTCCCGACTTCTTACGCCTTTATCCTCCGGCAGGATAACCACCCATGCGTGTACTCGGTGACCGAAATACTTATCTGGTCGTGGACGCTCGAACTCCTAGGATTGTAAGATTAAATGAACGATCGCGATACGAATCGTCATGTCGAGTCGTAAAACTTTTACGACTGCCGGCAATGTTTCATTAAAATAGTGGTCTTTTTTTCTCCAAAAAAATTACAGGGTGGCCTCGAACGTTCCGGCCCATAGACATATAAAAGATAGACTGCTTATGAGGCAGTGGAACCCTAGGTGGGGGCATCCTCCTGAGGGAAAAGGACAACATGAATTTATTTGGGTATCTGTCTTCCTCTAGTGGACGTGATCTGAAGGCGATCACGTGTTCACGCCCACGCGATCACGTACACTAGAAGAAGATAGATACCCAAATAAATTGGTGTTGTCCTTTTCCCTCAGGAGGACATCCCCCACTACCTCATAAGCAGTCTATCTTTTATATGTCTATGGTTCCGGCCAGACTTACAGATTTTATAGGAAATTTAATTCTGAACAAAAAGTTTCCTATAAACATGGGTCGAAAAATGTTAGCGCCCAAAAATTTGAGGAGGGGGAGAGGGAGGGAGAGAGGGAGAGAGAGAGAGAGAGAGAGAGAGACAGAGAGAGAGAGATCTCAAAAGTTTTTGGGCGCTAACTTTTCAAGGAAGCATTTTTCGACCAAAGTTTATAGGAAACTTTCTGTTCAGAAGTAAATTTCTTATAAAATCTCTAAGCAACTAATGAGAATATTCTTAAAAGTCGCCAGCAGTAATTAACAACATCAGACATTTTTATTGACCGTATCTGGCAATTTTAATAATACAGAAAATTTATTGTGAAAAATATTACCTCAACTAGGGTTTGAACCTGGACTTCCCTACACTCTAGGCCGTTGTTCAGAAACACCACCCGAGTGTATCATTCTATTCTTGTTTAACATACGGTGAGCAACAAGGATAGAATGATACGCTGGGGTGCTCGGGTGGTGTTTCTGAACGTAGTCTAGAGTGTAGGGAAGTCCAGGTTCAAACCCTAGTTGAGGTAATACTTTTCACAATAAATTCTCTCTATTATTAAAATTGCCAGATACGATCAATAAAAATTTCTGATGTTGCTTAAAATCTCTAAGTCTGGCCGGAACGTTCGGAGTCCGGGGCCACCCTGTATAAATAACATACACGTTTCGCAGAACATCGAGATTTGTTAAAGGCACAAAAGTGGTTTTTGCGGCAGTCCACACTAAAAAAAATATCTTACTAACGCAGGTAGATTTCTAAGTGTCACAACAATCTTACGCAACTATACTTGCTTATAGCTGTAAATCATTGACTATTCACTGTTTTTATTGATAATTCACTGGTTGATTTTTAGAGAGATGTCGTTAAATACGTTGAGCAATTATTAGAAATTTCTGAAATAACATCAGAGATAAAACGATATCTTCCTGCGCACGTACAGTGATCACCCTCTGTCGCTCTTTTTCTTGTCGTTGCAACTCTGCCTCTGTCTTCGCTCTCTCGTGCTCCTCCAACTCCAGAAGGAATCGACTCTTGAAATCAGGCGGCGCCTTCAATTGGTACTTGTTGATTTTGGGCCTGTCGGCCGGCGGCGGAGCTCGCTCCGTTTCCGGCAAATACGGGCATTTTCTTCTGGTCATATCACATAATGCTTGTTCGCGTGATGCGTATCCGTTCACCACGAACGCATTGTAACGCTGTCCCAGCAATAAGCTCGTCAATAGGGTCGCGCACTCGAAACTGTTGCCTTTCTGAAAGTCCAACAGCCACGTCGGCGAGTACAAGTGTTCCGGCTGTAAGAAGGGCGATCGTTAAATAATGACGAATAATGAGACTTTGGCATCGTTCGGCGAATTTAGTCTTAAAGTCTGTGGTCCACGCGAATGTGTATGAAGTTGGCATATCAATTGTCAGCATATAAAAAATAGTGTAGTTCTCTTTGCATACAACATAGTTCTATAGTTCCTGATAAATTTTAACAATAATTCTGGTCATTTATTTATAATAAATGACCAGAACTATTGTTAAAATTCGTGCGAAGTTAGCATATCATTTCTCAAATTTCATTTATTTATAATTCTACTTTCAAAAACACAAAGATTTGAATGTCCGAGGACTGTTTTGACGTTGAATTCGTTCGAGCACCTAATTCTCTGAAGTCGGTGTAACGAACTTTTCCTCGCGGTTCGCGCGCTCTCCTGACAAATTATTTATTTTCTAAGGCTATTTGTGAAATATTTCGGGTATGTTTGTGGTTATCGTAAAGCACCTAATTAGCACTAAATTCTGATGTATTTGTTTTGTATGTAGGGTCACTCCAGATAGTTTTTTGGGTAGGGGGGGTTGCAGCTTAATGGCAAGCTGGACCCCTCCCATTTTTTTACGTAATTTCCTGCTAAACGGTTTGAGCATTCGGACTGCGGCACTAAAATAGCACCTAAATAGCATTAAATTTTTGACATAGTGCGAACTTGATTTGCGATGGTGGGGGGTCCAGGTTAATAGGGGTGTCCACTTGTACCGTGTCCAAGTGAGCCTCTCCCGGAGTTAGCTCCCCCCACCATCTAAAAACAGGTTTATGCTCCCTCCAGTTATTCTTTCCTCCATGGTGGTAACCCGTAAACTAGCGCCTTTCGCGGCAAGTACTGTAATTAAAACGCGAGATGTAACTCGAATGATATCCTCTGCGAGTAACTTTAGAAATAGTTTTATAAGAATATAACTTATATGTGTATTGCTTATGTTATATTTAAACGTTTTCTAAAATAGTTTTCTACTAGGTGTGTCTAATTTACATGCGTTTCAGTAATAATTTATTAATTTATTTATCGTACAGTGATACAACAGATTGTTGCAACTGTCCAAAGGGATCCTTCCTTACCGACGAAAAATAACGGCACGTACGCGCCGCCATGTGCTCCGTGTCAGTCGACAGAGAGAAGTAATAATAATAATAATACCAAAGAGTAAATACGTGAACACATTCAGTAATCGTCGACGTGAGCGGTAGGGCTGTGAAACGGAGCGAGATAGAATGTATACAAGCAAACGTGGGGAGCACGTGGCGTGGCGTGCGTATCGTCCTCGGTCCATGACCTACGCCACTGTATTATAATCTACGAGAATTTATTGCACCGTACAACGTGAACGCCGCACTCTCGTTCTCTCTTCGTACTTTGTAGGGCGACAGAGAGGGGAGAGAGGTGGAGGAAAAGCGAGAGAGAGTAACAGAAACGGACGAGGAGGAAAAATACGTTGCTAGCGTTGCGCGTCGCAACGCGTGTCCCAGTGATCGCGTTTAAACAGTTTCCTCCCGTCGCCCACCTTCCTCCGCCCGCCCGCCCTCGATATCCCTCCGTCGCGCGTGTATACCTCTTTCTCCCTATCTGTCCGTCCATCTTTTTCTCTCTCTCTCTCTCTCTCTCTCTCTCTCTCAGCTCTTGAACTTTTTATCTCCGACAAATTGCCGGAGAACAATCTCACGGGAAAATTCGCGGAACAGAGGCATCGAGCGCGGACGTTTCTCGCGGATCTCGCCGCGTCTTGGAGCAGCTATATGGGAAGGACTCTTTTTTTTGCCGGCGCGTAGTAGAGAAGCCTGGACGACGACGACGACGACGACGACGACGACGACGACGACGACGACGACGAGGGTAGAGAGATGGTCAGTGGGTGGCGGCGATGGCAACGGCGGTATCCCTCGACCCTTTCGCCCACTTCCGCCCCCTCTGACCACCCGACCCAACCCATACCGAAGCAACCTACCTCCCTTCCGCCTCCTCCCCTTCGCGCCTCCCTCATCGCCGCCGTTGCCCTCGACCGTCTCTCTTCGCGTCTCTCCTCTCCTCTCCTCGCCTCGCCTCGCCTCGCTTCGCCTCGCCGCGCCGCGCCGCGTCGTCATTCCGTCCTCCCCCCGTATCTCCCCTCCCCCCCGTCACCCGACCGAGCCGCGTCGCGCCACGCCGCGCCGCGCCGCGCCGCGCCGTGCCGCACCGCGCCGCACCGCGCCGCCACGGCCCCGCGCGTCACCCTCATTCCGCGCGACCCCTTCGACCGGCATCCACGTGGGACGCAAGACGAGGGTGTGAGGTAGCAGACAACGCGGAGATACCACCGCGCCGCGGCAGCTGGCGCAGTGTTTCTCAACCAGCAACTTACGCCGGCAGCCGCGCTCCCGCGTATTAATTCGTTCGCGCCGTGCGAGCGATAATTTACAACTCTCGGACTTAAGCTGGATGCGCGCTCGCGCATACGAACGGACGTATTACGAAATATATCCCTGAGCGCGCGGCGAGATGATAAATAGACCGCGCGGGGATTTAACAGCCACTTGGGCGAAAATTACGAGCGCGCCGGTATTTGGACATTTTCTGTTTTTCTTGTCGCTCCGCTCCCCGCCCGCCCTCGCGCCAACGTCGAAATTTCGTTACTCGAATGCAAAACGGCCGTCCTGTCGGAGAGCGTCACGCCGGCGAGTTTGCGAAATTACAATTAATTGCTTTCTTCCGAGGCGCGCGCGCCTCCTCGCCAGCGCGCTGACCCATTTCGCCGCGTTCGTGATTTTTAACTGCGACCCGGGCGACGCGAAACCGCGCGCGGCAAAATGGCGCGCGGTAACGAAGGCGCGAGGTTGTTAAGCGCGACGAAATCGCGCTTTAAAGCGGATGGACTCGAATGGGAACGCGCGCCCGCCGGGGCGAATCGTAAAAGATGGACGTCGCGATCCGTCGTCTAAATATATCGCTCTCTCATCGACGTATCTCGTTGCCGGCGTCGTGCGTCGCGCGATTCGCGCCCTCGACGGGAAAAAGAGAGAAAGAGGGAGGGAGGGAGAGAGAGAGAGAGCTTCCTTGCGCGGATCGTGGATCTCCGGATTTATACACGGTACAACGTCGTTACACGAGCGTCGCGCTCACAGGGAACGAGCGAGCCGGGCGATGATCAAAGTAGGACGCTCGAAAGCACGGATCGAAGCGCTGATTAGTCGAGGCTTCGAGCGAGGTGCTGCGAGATAGCGCTTTTCGGAGCGCCTCGATGTCGTGCCGCCGGTGCCGCGCGGCGTATCGAGGACGTTATCCGTGGACCCGCGCGGGTCTGTGTGCGTGCGCGTGCATGTGTCCCGCGTGTACGCGCGCGCCCGGCTCTCACGTACACGCTCGCCTGAGCTTGTGCGCGGGCTCGCGAGGGAAGATGGAACGGCGGAGCGAGCGACCGGGGGAGAAGCGCGGTCGGTGACGAAGGGGAGGTGAGCTCGCGAGTAAGAGAGGGCGACAGGGAAAGAGGGAGAGAGAGAGACAACGTCAACCGACGCGAGGGGCGGAGGGAGAGAGGGACGAGACGAGGGCCTAAATCAGGGGCGATCGCGCTGAGCGACGTCGCTATCTCTGAATATGCGAACCACTATTTGGCGTCCGCGGCGCGCACGTACCTAGAGAGAGAGAGAGAGTGTGTGTGTGTGTGTGTGTGTGTGTGTGTGTGTGAGTGAGTGAGTGAGTGAGAGAGATAGAGAGAGGAGGAGAGGAGGAGCGAGAGCGCGAGAGAGGACCCCGTATTACTAGATACTAGATAGTACCTAGCCTCTGCCCGTAGCCTATGTACTACCTCGCTCGTCCCCGTAGAGACGCGCGTGTAAGTGCGCGAGGTGGAAAACGCCTTGCACATACACGCGCGCGCGCGCGCGTATATACGTGCATCCGTGTACGCGCGCGTGCACGTGCATGTGTGCTTACACCTACGCGGTTACATGCCCTGCGAACCGTGCACACGAGAGCCAGCGGCGAGAGCATCGAACATGCCGGCATCCCTCCGCTCCGTGTGTACGCGGTGTGCGGAAAACTGCGGAATAAAGTCGAACCTTCTCGCGATCGCGGCTTCGCCTATCGTCGTCGTTCTCGTCGTCGTCGTCGTCGTCGCCGAGGCGCGCGGTTTTATCGCGCGGCATCATTACGTGCGCGCCGTACCAACTCGAGAGGACGTACTACACGGAGGGGACGTTCGTTAAAGGCGAATATCGAAAAATGAGGGCCGTCGCTACGTCGAAGACGCACGGGCGGCCTCGTCGAAGCCCTGGAGATTATTTGGCTTCGCGTCCGTTCCACGGTCGCTGCTTCTACGTCCTCTCTCTCTCTCTCTCTTTTCAGAATTCGTACCTTTGAAAACGAGATATCGCGTCGAGGGGACGCTCATTAAGGTAGAATATTGAAAAATAAGCACTTTTGAAGGATCATTAGGCCACCGGTCTGCCTTTGAAGCGCTACCGTTTGTATACTTTTAGCGATATTTTCAAGATACCTGCGCGCATTAGACGGAGACGAGAGAGATTGAAAAAAAAACGCGTGCTATTTCGAGGTACACGTCCAGCGCGATCGCGATCGCAATATGGGAGCCGTCGCGGATCTCGTCCACGGACGGCGTGAAAACTGGTTTACGGTATTTTCTCGATAATCGCCGGCGAGCGGGGTCTCGCATCGTTAATCGGGATTTCCACCTAATTTGAAGCTCGTAAGCGCGCTCGCGCGGCGTCTTCTTCTGTCGCGCGAGCCGCCGCCGCCGCCGCCGCCGACGACGACGACGAAGGCATTAAACGCGTCTATTTTTGCGCGACCGCGCGCGCTCGCGACAAAGCGCGGCGAAGCGAGGCGAGCCTCTTTCGCACGTCGGCGTCCGCGGCGCGCGAACAACGCAGTGACGTCAGTATTTACGCGCGATGACGCGCCCGCGCGCTCGGGAGGGTCGCGTGGGCGAAAGGGTGCCGTCGGCAGAAATGTTATATTCGACGGTATTTAACGCGGCCCCGGCGTCGCCGGCGTTAAACGTTACCATGCACGTCATAATTGCTCCCGGTATGCGCTTTCGCTCCCTCCCCTTCCCCGCCCCTGCCCACCCCCCCGGCCACCTCGCGCCGCCACCGCCGCCGCAGCCGCCGCCGATGTCGCCGCTGCCGCCGCGTGGGCGGCCGCCCGACGAGTTTGAAACTTTGTCGTGCAACTGAACGGATTATAACGCGTTGATTGTGCGCGGGACGAGCGCGGGAAGAGAGCTCGAAACTTTATAAACACCACGTCCGCGCGGCTTTCCGCGGGACGTGGCGGGAGCGCGAGAAGTTGCCGCCGGGTTGCTTAGAAACTCTCCGGAAGATCGGCTGGTCGAATCGGGGCTCTCGCGTCTCTCTCTCTCTGCCTCTCAAATCCGCGCGCGGAGTAAATTGACGACCAAGAGTTAAGCCACGCGCATATTATATGTACAGTAATCGCCGAGGTGTGTGCCCGTCGCGGTTTCGCGGAATTGCCGGATGCCCGCTTCCGGTCCGCGCCTTGGAGCAACCCCTCCCCGCGCCGCGAACGCGGGACCTATTAACGATCCCGAGATACTGGTCGCCACCTCCGGAAGGGAGGGAGAGAGAAAAAAAAAGCCCGCCGTGTCACGAGATCGAAAGACAGGCCGAAAAATGAGCCGCGCCGCCGATCGTTACGTATAGCGGTGTGTAACGTACGTACGCGCGGCGCGATCGGGGCTCACTGTACTCTCTAACGAGCGGTACACGTGTTCTGACGTCTGCGCTATAAAATACATACGGGCACGCGCTTACGGGACTCGTGTATGTGCGCCCACTACCATCGTGCGAGACACGCGAGCGAGCGCGAACACCGGCCGGCCGGCCGGCCGGCTCGTTGGAAGCTCTAGAGCCGGTTTTCAATGAGTGAGCGGGCCGGAAGAAGAGGGAGAAACAGCGTAATACAGAGAGAAAGAGAACGCGGAAGGGGATAGAAGAGTAGGAGGAGGAGGAGGAGGAGGAGGAGGAGGAAGAGGAGGAAGCGAGGGTGGGCGAGGGCGGACGTGCGGAAGGACAGGGACGAGAGGGAAAGAGAGAGAGAAAGGGCGAGGACGGCGGGAGGGAGGGAGGGAGGGAGGGAGGAACATAAACCCTTATCGAAATCGTGATTCACCCCACATTCTCCGGAGACCCCCTAACCTATTAACATCCATATCACAATAACAGATACACGTGTACGCCGCCGCTGTATTCCCACACCGTCTCTCGTCCTCGTCGCGCGCTCTCCGTCCGCTTTCGCGCCGCTCGCATCCGTAATTGCTCGCGTATCGCGGGGCAAAAAAATCGCGGATGAGATAAAGAGGGAGAGAGAGAGAGAGACTGATAGCGAAGTGGCCATTATGTGCCGCGGGATTTCGGGATTAAAATGAAATTTCGATCGCGCGCTTGCCGGCCTCTCGTTTTTCCGCCGCCGCGCGAAGATGCCGCCGTCGAGCGTTGGATATTCGAGTGCGATTATTGCCGATCAATTCGCGGCTCCTAAAGTTTTCGATACGACATATACGTCCAATTATCTCTTTATGGAAACTGAAAAAGAATGATACTTAGAGAATCTGTCAGCTCCTGCGAACAATTAGGGACTTACGTGCGAGGAGGAATGCGAGTCAAGAGGCTCCACTTGGAGAAAAGTAATTTTAACAGTAGCTGCCAAATTATTAAGATAGAAAGTTGTGGTTAAAAAATTAGTGTTGATCTTTTCTCAAGCTTTTATGAACTTGTAATAAATAGAAATATTTAACTAGTATATTCCATCAGATTGCCAGTATTAATATAAATAAAATTTCAAGTTTCAATCGACCTCAGCTCGCCACATTTATCAAATACGCTTTCACAACTCTTTCGACCTTTGGCTTAAGTCCTTCTTTAGTGAGATCTAAGGGCAAATGTTTTACATACAGATTACGTGAGAGTTTAACATATATTGTCGCAAAAATTGCTAGACTACAAATATAACAATTCAACGGCAACTTATTAACGCCAGTCGAGAAATTAAGGAATAAAATAAACGTGGAAACGATCTTACTGACACTTCTCTATTATACAGGGTGTACTAAAACCACCGGAGGTCCTCTTAATGACAGATTCCTTAGAACATTTCCAGACGAAAATCCTAATACAAAAATGTCGAGGCTATAATAGTTTTTAAATTAGAAGCGATTTTTTTCCACAAATGATAGGACTGAAATTTCGCGCGCTCACTCTGGGGGAAAAAAGACAGTTATAACCCATTTTGGGGCCCACCATTAGTAATCGAAATATTTGGATTGTTCGTAACTCTACTCTGGGAAAAATTTTGACCGTTTTTTGATGTAGTTAAGCAACTTAACATTTCGATGCCACTTAAGTGAAAATTATCTTTGCGTTACTGAATATCGACAGAACTAATTGAGAGAATTGATTAGTATTACTTTAATATCTTGGATATAGATAGAACAGCTAATTGTGATTTTTAGTTACGCGGGATAAAATTCGTAAAAGATTAGAGTTACGAACAATCTAAATAATTCGATTACTAATTGTGGGCCCCAAAATGGGTTGTAACTGACTTTTTTTCCCCCAGAGCAGGCACGGCGAAATGACAAGTGATATTGTAAATTTATACAATAAACATAACATCATAAAAAGAGCGATATTCATAGGAGCACTTATATCACTTGTCATTTCGCCGTGCCTGAGCGCGCCAAATTTCAGCCCTATCATTTGTGGAAAATAATCGCTTCTAATTTAAAAACTATTATAGCCTCGACACTTTTGTATTAGGATTTTCGTCTGGAAATGTTCTAAGGTATCTCTCATTAAGAGGACCTCCGGTGGTTTTAGTACACCCTGTATTATAAATTCACAACGTTTCGGCCAGTACCAGTACTGGTTCTCTTCGGGTAACGAACATACATAAGTACCCGCAAATGTAAGATTCGTCAAAGTTAAAGAAGTAAAAATTATGTCAAATGTCAGAGATTTCTCTGTACAATGTGTTTAGTTATCGGCGTTTGAACATAGAATGGCAAGTATCTTAGGTACAATAATCGTACAACTTGCTGTTGGTTTCGGGAAAAACCTGGATATACGTCGCTGCTTTTGTCACTTTGAACTGTAAAAATTTTACCGACAGTCTTTGAGTCTTGAATAGCCAGCGAATCTACGGTTTCCTGTTACAAAAAAAAGAATAGAACCAAGAAGACTCGCATAGATTTATTTCTTTCGTGAAAATTTCCTCAATTGTAGGTGTAACGAGACGGACGAAGGTATGGAAGCAAGAAAGTGAAGAAATACGAGCGAAATATATCAGAAATGGCTATTGCAAGGAAGAGCAATTGACAGAAACTTCCAAAGCTGAAGGGTTTATTACTTTCTTCCACCTTAACCCGTTCAGCCCTTAACCGCCGTTTTTTTCTGGTCCGCCGTGCTTATTTAACAGTGAATTGACAAATATCTTATGTTATGATCGTACAGGCTTTAGTGGGTTTTGAGAAAAACCTGGCGATGCATCACTTCAAAGACATATTTTATTCGTTTCGCAGTTCCTCTTTCTCATAACTCTCCCATTGTAATAAACACATAAAACTGCACGTAAAATTTTCTGCTTTCTCAAGGTTGAGGGCTTCTTCATTGTATCCAAGATAGAAGAAAAGAAAGTTATGG